TTTGGGTTCTAAAAATATTTATATATTTTTCTTATAAGTTTGGACGTGAACTATAATCAATAACTATTATACTTACAAACACTAAATTTATATATGCTTTGGCATAGATTCTGATTAGAATCGCTTAAGCGTGCTGCAAATTCTCAACTTTAATGATTTTTTATAATTTTACCCTTTTGGTAAACAAACACTAAATTTATATATGCTTTGGCATAGATTATGATTAGAATCGCTTAAGCGTGCTGCAAATTCTCAACTTTGATGATTTTTTATAATTTTACTCTTTTGGTAAACCTATAATATTTTAGTATGTTATTTTGCACTACTCAACTATCATTATACTTTTAAACAAATTCAACAATTTAATTTGGTCAATTTATAAGTACCAAAAATTATTAATTGCAATTCCCAACCGATATTTTTAACTTCCCGAAGGAGAAGTTTATGTTTTCATCAAAAAATCCGATTCGCTAATTTTATGTTTTCTCGACGTTTCAAGCCATTCTGAATCGAATGAGACCAAATTTGGAAAAAGTATGTGTGTGTGTGTGTGTGTGTGTGGTGTGTGTATGTGTGTGTGTGCGTGTGCACCAACAGATTTTTTGCCGTAAATCGACGTTTCTCGAAACGGCTGGACCGATTTCAAAAATTTAAAAGCCATTCGATGTATCTCGACGAGAACTATTGTTTGTCAGTTTTGTGCGACGATCGGCCAAGCCGTTTCTTTATAAATGGCAGAAAAGTGAAAAATTTTTCGTCTACGTTTTAGCCCGCAATTCTGAATCGATTTTGAAAATTCAAAAACCGTTCGAAAGATATTGGTTGGGAATCGTGCTGATTAGTTTTTGGCAGAGATCGGCCGAGCCGTTTTCTTGTAATAAAGTTTTAAAAAAAAAATTTCGACGATTTTTTATGATTATTTTTTTGACGATAGATACCATAGTCTTCTAGATCATACTAAAATATTACGGCGCTACGACAACTGGTTCAGCTTTAAAAATTCGTCAAAGTTTGCAAAAATCAGTATGGTCTTTTTGGCATTTGTCAAAATTAGACTTTTGATCGACGTTTTCTCAAAACGCCTGACCGATTTTAAAATTTAAAAGCCATTTGATGTATTTCGGTGAGGACTATCGTTTGTCAGTTTTGTGGCAACGATCTGACAAGCCGTTTCTTTGTAATTCGAAAAAACTTTTCGTACATATTTAAGCTCATCCTACCGACCGATTTTAAAAAATCAAAAACTGTTCGAAAGATTAGTTGGGAATGATGCTGATTAATTTTAGGTGAAAATCTACCGAGCCGTTTTCTTGTAATTAACTGTTGAAAAAAAGTGTTAAATTTTCGTCGACATTTAAGCTCATCCTACCGAACCGATTTTAAAATATCAAAAACTGTTCGAAAGATATTAGTTGGGAATGATGCTGATTAATTTTAGGGTGAAAATCTACCGAGCCGTTTTCTTTAATTAACTGTTGAAAAAAAGTGTTAAATTTTCGTCGACATTTAAGCTCATCCTACCGAACCGATTTTAAAAAATCAAAAACTGTTCGAAAGATATTAGTTGGGAATGATGCTGATTAATTTTAGGTGAAAATCTACCGAGCCGTTTTCTTGTAATATTAACTTTGAAAAAAGTGTTAAATTTTCGTCGACATTTAAGCTCATCCTACCGAACCGATTTTAAATATCAAAACTGTTCGAAAGATATTAGTTGGGAAGATGCTGATTAATTTTAGGTGACAATCTACGAGCCGTTTTCTTGTAATTAACTGTTTGAAAAAAAGTGTTAAATTTTGTCGACTACTCCTCCTCCGAAACCGATTTCAAAAAATCAAAACTGTTCGAAAGATATTAGTTGGGAATGATGCTGATTAATTTTAGGTGAAAATCTAACCGAGCCGTTTCCTTGTAATTAACTGTTGAAAAAAAGTGTTAAATTTTCGTCGACATTTAAGCTCATCCTACCGAACCGATTTTAAAAAATCAAAAACTGTTCGAAGATATTAGTTGGGAATGATACTGATTAATTTTAGGTGAAAATCTACCGAGCCGTTTTCTTGTAATTAACTGTTGAAAAAAAGTGTTAAATTTTCGTCGACATTTAAGCTCATCCTACCGAACCGATTTTAAAAATCAAAAACTGTTCGAAAGATATTAGTTGAGAATGATGCTGATTAATTTTAGGTGAAAATCTACCGAGCCGTTTTTCTTGTAATTAACTGTTAAAAAAAATTAAGCCGTTTTTCATGGAACTTTTTTTGGCGATATACTCATGGTCTTATAGAACTTACTGTAATATTACGGCCTTACAACAAGTAGTTTAATTTTAAAAATTCGTCAAAGTTTTGCTAAAATTATTATCGTTTTTTTTAAAGTAGGATTAATGAAGTATATTATTTACACATTTTTTTTTAATTAAGTCGATTATTTACACATTTCGGGAAGTTCATGTAACTTGCCTCAAGGCTAAATACCAAACCAACTAGTTTGAACAGTTTTTGTACTTTTGAAATAGATTTGAAATTTTGAGCTAAAACGTAGACAGAATGTTTACAATTTTCTGCTAAAAAACGGCTAAATGCAAAGAAACGGATTGGCCTATCGTCGCACAAAACTGACCAAAGCTATTCCTTATCGAGAGACATGGAATAGTTTTTAAATTTTTTAAATCAGTTCAGCCGTTTTTAAGAAAATAACGACAAAATATCAAAAAACAGCTCACATACACATAAACATACTTTTTCCTAATTTTGCCTCATTTGATTCAGAATTGCTGGAAACTGGAAACTCGAGAAAATAGTTACTATTGCATAGTATTGCTGAAGAAAATAATAATTCCTCGCGCACTTTTGCAGCAGTCCGCAGCAGCGGATATTGAACTTTTGATTCGGTTTGCGCCGTGGTAAAAATATGCTCATACAACTAATAAGTTGGGTTTTCCGTTTCTCAATAAAAAAGAAACTATTCGTCAGAACCTTCGATTGAAACTTTCCTAAATTTTGCAACGATGCGTGCCGTTGATTCACACCTTGTGATTCTCTATACGTTGTGATACAACGAACATATTCATTGCGCGCAAAGAATTTATATACAAATATATTGAATACGTTGCAAAATAGACAGTGTTTTCTATTGAATCCGCCTGTGTGACTAAAAGTTTTACACAAGGTAAAAATTGTCGTGGTTTTCCAATTTATTTGCTTTCTAAGCAATTTTTAAAGTGGATGTCCAACAACAAGCTTCAGAACCAAAAAATGAGCCCTGACTGCCAAAAGTTTGCACCACTTTTACTCAGAAACTGATTCATTAAAGCAATAAGAGGGACTGGGTACGGTTGTGTCAGAGTAGCAATGGTCATAACATTTTAACTATACTGATTTTGATATAGGGTTCAATGGGAGAAAGTAAGTTTTTCTGTACGATTTCTTTTAATAATAACTGTTTCTTGTATGCTGATAGATTACTTTGACTCTATTATCGAATTTGTTTGATGTGACATGTATTTCATGTAGTTTTCAGATGAAGATTTAACTGATAAAGAAATCTATCCTAACTAATAAGACGAAATACGAAAGAGAAAGAAAAAGGAAATTTTAATACAAGAAAACAAAATATATCACAAAAATTTCTTCTTGTTCAAAACATTCTGTTTTGCTACATATTGTTATATTATATTCATAAGCTTTGTTTAAATTATTATGTTGCGTTGTAATACATTTTTCTAATATATAATAAAAGTCGTTTTAAACCATTTCAGTGTTTTAGCTATATTTATTAATATTATTTAGCAAGTGTTCTTAGCTATTATTTTCAACCTATTTCAACTATAATACATTCAATTTCTATAGTTTATTAAATTATTTTTTTCCGTTTGTTTTTATTTTTTTTTATTATTATATTTTAATTAGCTCTAGTAGATACGTCACTGGTTGTATCTACTAATTTAAAATCAAACTTTATTTTATCATAGACTTGTCAGTATTCTCTGCTATTATATATACAGATTGCAAAATAAAATTGAATATTAAAAATTATGCTCCTCACAACCGTCCTGGGGTTGTAGACGGTTGTGTTGGTGACCCTTATTTTGTATGGTTTGATTTTATTATCAATTCATCGTAATTGAAGACAGTATTTCAGTATTTCCACGTAGAATAATTAGTAATTACCATTTAATTTACTTCTATCCCAGACAACTGATAAATTAATAAAGCTATTGCTAGTCAAAAAATGTGGGACCACCGTATCCATTCTCCTTTACTATTAATGTTTATTTTTGAAGCCAACAAAAATATCAAAATTATATCCATTGAGTATTTTAGAAATAAAATATCCTCTACTTTTCCACCATCGTACACTGCGACAAATCTGCGAACCGCCATAAGAAATTTTATTATGTATTCAAACGTAAAGATAAGCATTTGCATAAAGCCACTCCGAATAATCTTTAAATTATATGACTTAATAAATTTGTATTTATGACAAATAAATAGTACCCATGACTATTTATTGGTAAGTTCTGGATTTATTCAAATTCGTGAACAGAAATAATTCAGGTTTGCTTCAGCTTTGGTTATAGTAAAAAAGTTTTTGAAACTTTAACACCAAGGATTTTAAACAAGTTTGAACATAATAATTCATAATTGATTATTTGAACATAATGATTCAAGATTGATACTTAAATAAATAAATTATACATAATATATTATTTACATATTACATATTACATATATTTTATGATATATAAATATATTATTTCTTTAGAGACACGTTAGACTTATTAGAAGAATAAGCAGTTTGCTAAAGCAAATTTTCATTATACTAAATAAAGTTTAACGTTTTAGTTTACAAAATCTGCTATAAATTAGTTATAAGATAACTATTTAATTATGAATTTATTGTTGCAGTTATAAAAATGAGAATCAATTAAAGTAAAAATTGTTTAAATGAGATGATTTATAACACAGAAAGTATATAAAAATTCAAATATTACTTACATGTTAGAAGTGGGTCGACACAGACATCCCCACAGGAACTGGCGCAGCAGATCTTCTTCCCGGAGCAGGTTTGATCAGCCGTGCAATTGGCAGCTCGGTCAGGACATGCGTTCCATGACACCAAAGGCGGACATGGAGCAGGTGAATCTTTTAATTTTTCTACTTCTGAAAATATAAATTAAACATAAGAATAATAGATAATATCAAACATATAATAAAAAATAGGTAGTAATATGTAAATATTCTGCAAAAGGATAAGGGATTTAATTAGTTAAATCAATTTTATCAATTCTATGCAGAAAGCCGAGACAGTCCAGAATTTGTACCTTGTATCCCGGATTTTTCTAAGAGCAATATTTGTCCCGGATTTAGATCTTTTGTCATAGTTATGTCCCGGGATTTGAAAAAGTATAGGATAACATTGAATACTTTGCTCTTATTTGATAATAAAATTATAACTACCATCAAATAACTGAAAATGTTACGTACAAATAGTATGTTTATATGAAACAATATCTACGTTATCAGTAGTATGAGTAAATTGCCGTGTACAAAATTCCCAAGGCGAGTTAAAATAGCCTCTCACATTCATCATTTTGAATTTTATTAACTTTTATTTTTAATTTTACGAAAATTAACAATAATTAGAAAATGAACTTTTTGACTGCCTGGAATAACTGCTAATTGTTTTTAAATAATTATGAAGAAAATTGAACAAAATTTTATAAAAAAAAATTTAAAGGTAAAAAATTATATAGATTTTACCCCTCCCTCCCCCATCCAGGATTAGCATAACTAAATATTATCGTCCCGGTTTTGACTTGAAAAAATATAGTTACTTTATTTTTAGGCTAGTGACTTATTTTTAGGCGAAATTTGGCAGATGAATGATCAGCAATTATGTTCATCAAAAGATTGCAAAATGAAAGTATAAATTGATGAATAAATCCGAAGATCCGGGGTTAGTCATAATTATCCATCGAACTGTTGTGTTTTTCTGAATTGTCCAAGCCATCGACTCCGCGGATGTACCAATATAATATCCAAATGGGCAATGTTCCGGATTCGAAGACTGTGTCAGTTGGTCATATCACATCGTTTTTCAACTCGAAGACGATGACGTGTTTCGCGTTCTTGGGCTCTCAATAATCATAGCGCTGAAGTGCATATAGCAATAAAGCGGCTTTCTTTAAAGATTGTATTTAAAATCATATAGTATAGTGTTTTATTGATTTTAACTGCATTCTTCTGACATATGTTAAATTTATTCACTGTATTCAATCAAAATAAATTTAAAAAAAATTATTAATTTTTAAACAAATTTAATAACTGAAAATTACTAATATTAGTAGTAATTTCCAAATTAGATTTAAAAAAGATTAGTAGTACACGAAATGCTTGGTCATATTAGCAGAATCGACGTCGATCCAAATTATTTAGTCAATAAGATGTATTCGAAAAGTCAGTTCACCAGACTAAAGCGTAAATTACCCACAGAACTCATTTAGATATTTTGATATTAATTTTTTTTTCTTCACTATTGTATTATTTTACTTTTTGTTTTTGATTTCTATTAATATTATACTCCTAGTTGATTCTTCACTTCTAGGCATATCTATTAATATCCAATGTTATCCGATTATAACGTCACCACGTTTTCATATATTGTTATTAATCTCTGCACATTGTTCCCATTAACAGATCAAAGTATAAATAAATTATAAAAAATACATGCTAGTTATTCAGAAAAAGTTTTTTTACTGAATTTCTCTTTTAACTTTTTTTATTAAAAAGCTTTTGTTTTTATTTTGATATTTTTTACGCAATCCAATCATTTTATTTATATATTTTATAATATAAGTTTTGTTTGTAAATCTTCTGAACAAGATCATGCCATTTACCTATATTCTAAAGATGAAACGTACATAGTTTCAAAACATAATAAATAAATAGCAGATTTTAAATAACAGCAGCTTTCCATTACTATTTTCTAAATCTTTTATTCAACACAACAAATGTCTCATTTAAATTAACTAAGATTCATATTTATTGTATGTGTTACAACCGCATTACTTCATTTAGTTTTTTTAATAATTATCAAAAAAAGTTTATTATGAAATCAAAAATATTTTTGTTCTATATATAATATTTATAGCATTAATTTTTTAAAAACGTTCAATTGTTTATTAATTAGTAAAAATATTTAATTACATTATATATGTGTATTGAGGTGAAATTGTAAGAGCTTAAATTAGAATGAATAGTGTTACCAAAACATTCAGGTATTAAAACGTTAGAATACATATCCGTTAAATTATTAATAAACTATTAATAAATTAGATTAATAAATTTGCAATTGCATAACAGCTAGAAGCAACAATATTGTCCTAGTATACATACTTCTTCTAATAAACACAAATACGTATAAAGTTTTATTATTAAAAATATCATTATGCAAACTTGTATAAAATGTGTTTGAAAAAAGTAATATATTTTTGGCAAAATTAAATTGTACATATTCTATGGTGATCGTAGTTTTATTAGTTAAGTTGGGCTGATCCCAAATTAAGTTAAAAATACATTTTGTGTAGGGGAAAGTCTCCTAGTTGCGGACACCTAAGGTTATTTATAAATAAATCAAAAAATATTTTACGAAATGTTTATTAAATTATAATTTATGGTAGATAACAAAGTTAGAAATCTAACTAAATTAACAAAACCGCAATCTTTGCGAAAAAATAATTAATACTATCAATTAAACTTTGGTATCAAAAAATATGATTTTAAACAGTGGCACCTAGTACCGGACTTTTCAAAATAACCTGAATTGACAACATATATAGACAACTCCACACTCTGGAATGTCTGCACATGTGTCTTTGGCGAATAATCAAAATTGCAAAGAATGTCACTATTCATCCACTCTTTTGGCTGGGCCACACTGATGCTCTCAGCTGGTGCATTCACCATAAGCTTTTCATTCTTCGACTAGGAAATACGAAAAATGGGGGTATGTAGTGATTGTTAGCATTCATACAGAACATAATTAAATAATTAGAATAATTTGCGTATATTCTCACAAGAAATATCAATATGTTTACTGTCCGGCACTAAGAGACGACTTAGTGTCCGGTGCTGTGGGACAGACATTCTCGTTTATTTGGGGGCACCTGCTAAGATTGATTAAAAAATCTAATAATAATCTACCATTTTACGGATAATAATCAAGCACAACTTTTATCTTTGCATACCACTCAAGTGTAAATGCATAAATATGCTAGAATTACTTCCATTGATATTTAGGTGACGCCGTGATTTTGCGCCTAAAACAAGAAAAGGTTGCTCTCACCGTGGCCGTGTGCGTCACAGGCGAGGCTTGGTGAGTGATCCTGTACCTGTGTGCCCCTTTCACTTGTATTTTGAAATGAAAAGATTTATACTTGCTTAAATAATACGTATTAAAACGAGTGTCCAATTCTTGGTGCCGTCCGGCGTTACGGGACTTCTCCCTATTATTTAATTAGCTCAAAAATGTGTGTGCTTTCTATTATGTTGACACCTTCTTTGAGAAGAACTAACATAAAACCCTAGCGTAAAGTATAGTGATAAATTTCCTGAAGCAGACGTACCTCCCAGCTCACCGTCTATAGAATTTGTCCCGTCTACTACAAATTCCATGTCCCGTCGTATCCGGTTACATGATGCTTCATATTAAAAGCGTAATTTGTTATAATAGTTTCAGACTATAATTATAATATGCAGGTTATGCTTTCGAACAACTTGTTTCTGTGGCGCCAATTCCCATTGTGTGACAGGTGACGGATCGACGGACACGTCATTTCCAATTTAAATTTGGCGTTACCGATCAATTCTTAATATATTGAAACAGTGTTCGAGATTAGTTGCAGACTGTTTATAAACTAGTTCCCAGCTTGCTCGTAGGTCAATGATTAGAACGAATGGACCTGAATCAGAAATCAGCCGTTCGATAATGCTTCGAGCAGCCTGATGTCAAGCAGTAGTGACATGCGTTTTGATAAAAAAATTAGAAAGCAATATGTTAGAAAGAAATTAGAACACTATGAGTCCTGGTATAAATAGATCTTGCCTGACATTGTCGCAATAATAAAAATTCATCAGTATTACAGAAACTGTAATACTAACATTTATCATATAGAGATGAGACAAGTGTTTGGATCCATCTATAAACTATCAGGTAGTTAATAAGTATTAGTAATTAGTATGTATTAGTATCTAGTATAAGCCGGTAGTAAGTAGAAGTTAGTAAATATTTATCATAACAGCTTCTGATCGCTTTTAAAAAATGTAATAACAAACTTGATTTACTTAAACAGATATCATCATTATTTTTAAGTAAAAACCGATTACACTACTGCTCGATATCAGGTTGACAGAAGATAAGTATAAAACCTGGAACCCATATTCATGAATATCCTAATTTCAATACCACTTCTATAAAAATCAATCCAACCTAGTGATTGCATTTTTTATGTCACGACATCACCCAATTTTATTTTTATTTAACTTTAGCCGAAATAAATCAAGAAATTATGACTGAAAAAAATGGCAGATGAATTCTTCAGCATTGAGAAAATGTAATTTTGTCTGTAAAGTTCATCTTTGTATCTGATGGCTAATCGATTAATTTTTTTTAATGAGATGAATCATGCAATTTTAACCATTTACTATTATAAATATTTTTGAATTGTACACCAATAATGGAGCTTGACTATTAAACTTAACATTCCCTAGTCTGCCAAAAATAGCAGCCACCTCTATTATTATAGAAGAACAAATGGAATTAATTAAAAGAAAAGTGTAATTCAGGGAGTTAATTATAGTATTCTAGATCCTCCCCTACGAACTAATGCCTAACAGCAGTTTCCATGGGGACCAGTGGCAAAAGATATGCGGAGGTTTTAGTCGGTAGTAAACCCAGGCCGTATTGAGTCTGACATGTCCAGACAAAAGACCTAGCCTGGAATGCATAAACGCATTTGCTTCGCTATAGAGGAAAAACACTTTATTATTAAAATGATCATGTCTAACGTTAAATTTTTAATTAAATCTAAATTTTTTAACATTTTTGATAAAAATTTATAAGATGATATCTTCGAATAAATCATAAACCTCGCTTAATGCAGGGGCATACGTTCCACCAAAGTAGAGCATAATGCAAAACAGCGCTAAACGAGGCTATCTTTACGTAGATTTATTGGGGCTAGAGAAAGATGGCTAGAAAATTGAATAGGCATTAAATTTAAAAAGTATATATGTTTTTTTAATAAAAATAAAACCAAACATTTATTACCTAAAGCCCAAATTAATACCACAATATTATTACCTGCAAAAATAAAAACAAAATATAAATAACAAAACAAATGTTCTTGAAGAAAAACAAATAAAATTCTAAGTCAGTCATATTTAGTTAGCCTTCCGCGTTATCAGTGATCTGTCTTTTTGTGACAAAAGATTCTAATACTGTTTGTCTTTTCTTGCGTTGATCTCATAATAGTACTTCATAAACGGATAGAACATCTCTAACACCACGCCTTACTTTTGAGCTCATATCAAAACTTGGATCATTTTTGATTAATTGATCCATTATTTCAGTTATGGTAGACAAACTCCTTTACAAACACCAAAGAAAGTTTTTTTTTGCTTTTCCTCTGATTCACTGTATTAGAAAGAAACATTTTTGTTTTCTTCTTGCTCAGTTAGTTCCTTGAGCTCATCATTAGAAAGACTGCGCTGCTTCTTGAATTATTTCTTCGACATTTTCCACATTTACCCCTAACAGCGCTAAACCGAAACAGCGCTAAACGAAACAACGTTAAGCGGGGTATTATTATATGCAAAATGATAATAATATAAACATCTACACTGCCTATTTTGCCAAAATGTTGCAAATGTTCTCAGATTATAGGTTAATAAGTGGCAAAATAGACAAATAAGCGACTATCAACCAAATCATATGAAACATTTTTTTGATCTTGATAAAAATTAATAATAATAATAACTATCTTTAACATCATGATTTTATTACTTCTCCTTCCACCCGAAAAAAATGGCAATAATATACGTTTTTTTTGGCTGCTACAGTGGTGTAACACCTTAAACTGTTGTCATCAAATATTAAGTTACAAAATAAAAAAAATTCCACAACATCAATAAATATAATCCAAAAATTAATTTCCTATTACTATTAACTATTAATTTTCATACACCTGAGCCTTGGTTTATGAAGTTAAATTTATCTCTTTCCAAAATGTTTTAGCTAACAAATGCATAATCAATACTTCAGCTTCGATTATTGCATTGATCATAATCTAGCACATGACAAATATGTATAATTAATTATGGATGACTAATACACATATCTTGATATAATAAAAATATCATAATAAAAATCCATGTGGATATTCATAACTGTATTTAATCTCCTCGTATGCATAGAACACCACGATTTAATTACGGAATCTGATAAATGAGTATAATATCTGTGAAATATTCAAATCAAGCTTATTGCATGTATTTCTAATCTAACGGTTTCTATCTTTATGTTCTCATCTTCTAATAGGTTTTAAACGTCTGTATAAATAATTTATAAAAAACATTCAATTATAGAATTCAAACGAATGAGTAGTTAACTGATACCGTTGTTTCATGATTGTGCGAAGAAGCTGTAAGTAATAATTAAACCTAGTAGTAAAGATTTGATCTAAAAGCATAATTATTTAACTCATTTTGTATTATTTGCAAAATAACATATTTATATTAACTGAGATGTTAATTTGCAAACTTTTAAATCTCTAATGACCTAGATATTGTGGTGGGAATAGCTCAGTCAGTAGGACGCATGAATCACACGACAGGGATACTCGGGTCGAATCCTGGCACTGACATAGAATTGTTATTTGATTCGTTGGATTGAAATTAAGTAGGATTTAATTAATGATATTGAGATAGAATAGAATTAAAAGTTAGAAAAGAAAGCAACTTTATAAGAAAAAGAAGAGCAAGGAATTCAATTATAAAGAAAGGATATAAATATAAAAATAATATATAATAGGTTACAGATTGTATATGATATATCATATAATAAATATATTATATGATATAATGAAGATACTATGAAATGTAAAAAATGTGTTGTAGGTGTGATTAAAAGCTCTAAGTGAGGCCAATAAAAAACTAGATAATAAATCTGTAATGATTTTCATTTCAATCATTGTTATTTCCACAATTATCTCTGAAACCAATGGGTTCTTCCATCATTTTAGAAAATAAAGTTTAATTTTAATTGACAAATTAGTATACTTTTATCGAATTAAAGAGGGGAAATAGCTGAACTCAAAGAAAAAAGTAATTGTGCAATCATCATCAAAATATTTATAATAATGTAATCAGAATAATATTAATAGGGAAAAGTCCCGTAACGCCGGACTTTCGTATTTTCTAGTCAAAAAATAAAAAGCTTAGGTGAATGCACCAGCTGAGAGCATCGAGGAGGCCTAGCCAAAAGGGTAGATGAATAGTGATTTTTTTTTGCAATATCTTAGAATATTTGTCAAAGGCTCATGTGCAGACATTCCAAAAGTGTTGAGATAATGACTACGTATGTGATCAATGCAGGTTATTTTTAAATGTCCGGTACTAGACGCCACTGTTCAAAATCATATTTTTTATGCCAAAGTTTGATTGATAGTATTAATCATTTTTAGCAAAGATTGCGGTTTTGTTAATTTAGTTTGATTTCTAACTTTGTTATCTAACATAAATCATAATTTATTAAACATTTCGTAAAATATTTTTTGATTTATTTATAAATAATCTTAGGTGTCCGCTACTAGGAGACTTCCCTCTAATTGCATTGTGTTGAAATAATATTATATTAGATTATAAACATGTAATTACCTTGAACTGCTGCAGCAGCAAAAACATATGAAACAGCGATCACTAAAATGACAAAATATTGTGTCAACAATCTTTCATTATGCGCCATTTCTTTACGAGTCCTGAAAAAAAAAATTGTATAAAATTATTTTGAAAACTAATATTTTAACTTGATAACTATAATTGTAATTTACTTCAAACGTAAATGTATTCCATATATTTTTATGGATTAAAGGTATTGGGTATTTTTAAAAAATATGGATATGAATTGCATGCCACATAGTCATGCAATGTACGATAAAAATTTAATTATAATTGTAATTGTACAATAATAATTTGATATAAATCAAATAAAAAAAATGTATAGCAATCCTTGAAGAACAAATAATTTAAATCTTTTGATCAATATAATGAATTTCAATAAAAATCTCTTACAAATAAAATTAGATTTTAATGTACAAATGCATAAAATAATTCATGAAGTGCAATAAATATTTACACATAAATAGTTCAACAATGATATGAATATTTTCAAAAATAGTACTATTTTGAAGTAATCCTTGAATAATAAATAAGCTACATATTCTGAACATCAATAAACAAGATTTTGAACTTAAATTCAGAATATAATCAACCCAAATAAATTTTGTAACAACTAAAATTGGATATTAATTCAGAGTAAATTACTAAATGTCTGAAATAATTTATGAAAATGCTTGAAATAGTAAATCATACATAAATATTTTCAAAAATAGTACTATTTTATAGTAATTCTTGAAAAACATTAATATAAATCTTCTAAGCATTTATAAACACAAATCTCAAATTAATTTTTAAAACTAGAATAAGTGTTTAGTTTTGAGTGATTTACCTCTAATTACTAAAGGCACTAACATACATACATACATACACACTTGAATATATATATATATATATATATATATATATATATATATATATGTAGCGGGTTGCCAACACGCATAGCGGCTTGTCAACACGCATCACATGTCTCTGGACAGATTGGCCCATATAGTGACAGCACTGAGAAAAACAAAAGGAAATTCAAGTGCCAGATCGGACACGGTTTTTGTTTCTCCCTTGTCGATTTTACTAAAAATGTATCATTCTTGAAACCTTTCTTTTCGATTATAAATAAGAAAATACCAATCACATTTTATTAACGATAAATATGACAACACATAGTGTCGTGGATATTAATCATACATAAAATAAACCAAATATAAATAATATTTTATGGAATTTATTATTACTACAATTTGCACAATATTGGTATTAATATGGAGGACTACCACACCTCCATATTTTGGTGACCCCGAGAGTGAACTAGCAACACACATACAAGAAGGTAAGAAGATCAAGACATATTTTGAAGTAGCATAAGAAAAAAAAAATAAATTGAAGTCTCAAGAATTATTAAGAAAAGAATTTTTAAAAATATAAATAATTATTATAAATGGCTCACAACTTCCATAATTCGAAGAGCATTCTAAGCATACAACTGAGACTCCGACCACGCACTTCAAGATCAACAACAACACGTGCTCAATAAATCACTTATTATCATGGTAAATAAGTCGATAATAAGCACCATGGCAGCAGACAGGGAGCAAACAATTTGGCAACCGCCACATACACTCAACCGCTAACTCACCAGCGAAGGGCCACATACAATCAACCGCTAACTCACCAGCGAAGGGCCACATACAATCAACCGCTAACTCACCAACGAAGGACCACATACACTCAACCGCTAACTCACCAGCGAAGGGCCACATACACTCAACCGCTAACTCACCAGCGAAGTGTCAAATATACTCAGCCGCTAACTCACCAGCGAAGGGCCACATCTACTCAACCGCTAACTCACCAGCGAAGGGCCACGTAAGCAATCAACAAACTCAACAAGCCAACACGGCAATTTATCACACAATCTCAACCAAAAGAAATTTACAAGGAAGTTCAAGAATGGCAGTCAGAGATGCGAAACAATCTTTTTCATTAGGGCGGAGTGATGTAGCGGGTTGCCAACACGCATAGCGGCTTGTCAACACGCATCACATGTCTCTGGACAGATTGGCCCATATAGTGACAGCACTGAGAAAAACAAAAGGAAATTCAAGTGTCAGATCGGACACGGTTTTTGTTTCTCCCTAGTCGAACTTGCCAAAATGTATAATTTTCAAAACCTTTCTTTTTCTATTATAAATAAGAAAATACCAATCACATTTTATTAACGATAAATATGACAACACATAGTGTCGTGGATATTAATCATACATAAAATAAACCAAATATAAATAATATTTTATGGAATTTATTATTACTACAATTTGGATAATATTGGTATTAATATGGAGGACTACTACACCTCCATATATATATGTGTGTGTGTGTGTGTATATATATATTCAGGTGCAAATAATAAAGCAATAACATTTTATAATTGATATATTTTATGTAATAAATTGATTCTATATTAGATCATCAGTTCATGCAATAATGTTACAATACTTTCAAATATATGCATTATTTGCAGTATACAGGTAAGAATATTTTATAATTGATACCTGTCATATAATAAATTGAGATTTTAACTTGAACTTTGAGGTGGATTGTCATTTGTTTTTCAGTGAAGTGTCAATAGATTTTGTGAAATAAGTAATAAGTCCGGAATTGATTCTAAATCTTGCCTTTTTAAAGGCACCGGGCTTAATACTTACAAGGTAATATACACCTTGTTCAGTGTTCTAAATTTTAAAGGTGAACGTGCCTTTTGCTGACTCCTCTTTCCAAACACTGGGTCGGTGTTGGTAATGGTTAGAGGATAAGCGCATTTTAGAAAGTGATTTTTCTAAATTTATTTGTTTTAAGTACTTTTGATTTATTTTCTTAAAATCAGTGCCGAGTATATTGAAGAGCCCAAGGATATTCCCAGGCAGAAGCCTGGGAAGAAGATCAAAATGAGCATGGAGGTACAGACCAGCGGTGCCCTCAAAAACAAATTCAATGCACTATCGGACCGATCGGACATGGATACAGACAGGGAGTTGAACGAATATAGAAAAGTGTCACGGAGAAAGAGAGCTAAGAAGAAGGAACCAGAGGGAAATGTTGGACAGCAGCCATCCGAGTCTGGCAATCGAGAATCACCGAACAAGTTAAGCAAAACACCTGAGAAAATACCACCCATCATCATCAAGGCAAACTTAGAATTGAAAACAATAAAGTACATCAGAGACATAACTAAGATCCAATTTAGATATCAGTTTTTCAACACGCAATTACACAAAATTTTTACAGATACAATCCAGGAACACGAGCAAGTTAAAAAGGTATTGAGAGAATGCCATTACCAATTCTACACATACTCGATGAGAAAAGATTTGCCGAAGAAAATTACAATGACTGGACTTCATCCTTCGATACCCGAAGCTGAAGTTTGCGAAGACCTCTTATTGAAAGGAGTTAAAGTCAGACAAGTGATACAGATCAAACGAAAGTTATCGGATGGCAGCCAACATAAGCTGCCCATATACATTGTCTCTCTGGAGAAAGATCAAGACATGTCGGAGCTGAAGCAAATTAGTAACATTGGAGGGCACATCTTCTCTTGGGAGACATACAGGTCACAAAATAGGGCTCTACAGTGTCACAACTGTTTGAATTTTGGACACACATCGTACACCTGCGATATGAAGTACAGGTGTATAAAGTGCCTCGAGATGCACGCGCCAGGTGCGTGCAAGAAACTACTAACCGAGGCACCGATGTGTGTCAATTGTAAGAAAGAACACCCGGCGAACTATTCTCAGTGCTCCGCACTCCTTAATTTCATTGAGAAGAAGGAAAACGATACTCTTAAGAGAAGAAAAGTATATGCGCCAGCTCCAACACCAATGCCACTGACAAGAAGTTTCTCGTCAGCTCTAAATCCGACAAACACCGGCCCTAACTTCAAACCTGATTATCCTCAACTCTCTGTCCCACGGACATCATACCGACCTCCGCTGCAGTCCACACTATCACCGGCCTGGCCTTCACCATCACCAAGACCAGCACCGATCCGGCCAACACCATCAATGGTCGAGTTTACAACCAACCAGCCAGATCCAGATCAACACTCCGGAAGGACTCTTTACTGCTATGGGCGAGATCAGGAAGCTATTTGCGGATCCCCAGGTAAAGCAAATTTTCAGTGAGCTATACAAACTGACAAAAACACTAAACACAAACATGACTTATAACGACAAATACACAACAATTTTGAACTTTCTTACATCATCACAATAAACCAATCGCAAGACTTACAAATAATGCATTTCAATTCTAATGGACTTAAAAACAACATTGACGAACTGAGACAGACGATAACAAAATACGATCTGGACATAGTACTGATTAACGAGACACACTTCAAACCTACGGACAGACTCTATATGAACAATTACAAAGTTTACAGAAACGACAGACAGACGGACGCACGCGGATGGGGCGGCACTGCGATTTTGATTAAGTCTAACATCAGACACGAGCAAGTGCCAAACCTGACAGCGGGCAGTTCTGAAATAACAGCTATTAATGTATACAAGAGAGGTCAAAAAGTAACCATAATATCGATTTACATCCCGGCAAGCAGACTAGAACATACGGACTTACAAAGACTACTGGACTCGAACAGATTTGTACTTATGGCAGGAGACTTTAACGCACAACACACATCTTGGAACTGTAACTTCAACAACGCGAACGGAAACAGACTTTACGAATACCTGACCGAACACAACACCACAGACGCACAACTACATTATCCTGACACGCCGACCAGATACGCCACCGTACAGACGCACCACCACAGTACGATCGATTTGGCATTGACAAAAAATCTACACGTAACATCCGAACCCATAACAAGAACACTTTTCAACTCCGACCATAATCCAGTTTTCATGACCATTTCAGACAGACTAGACGTCGACCAGACTCCCAAACGCAAATTTTTAGATTACACCAGAGCCAACTGGCCAATTTTCAGAGACATCATCACAGACAACACACGACACACTATGCCAATCGATACCAACACTGACATTGAGGAGGCTGTAACACACCTTACACTGACAATCACAGACGCCGTACAACAGACTATACCGACACTAGACTCAAGAACAACACCAGCCAACGACTTGCCAGAACATATTTTATTGAAAATACAACTTAAAAATCATACAAAGAAACTGTGGCAACGTACCGGTGACAGACTACTCAAGGAACATGTTAACAGACTGACAAAAATTATTTCCAACGAAATACGTGACCACCGAAACAGCACTTGGACCAAAAGACTCGAGAACATAAATACTGACCCACACACAATTTGGCAGACAGCAAAAAGACTGACGCAAAAACCAACATCCATACCTCCACTCAAATTAACTGACAATAATTACGCAACGACACCAGCAGACAAGGCGGAAATATTGGCAAAAAACTTTGAAAACATACATAAACAAAATGCCAATATGTCAAACGCAGACCTGAAACAAGACGTACACGAGACAATTCAAGACTTCACTGACCTCCACAGGGACAAAGACTTACGAATAGACCCTGCCACAGTTTCCGAAATAAAGACAATAGTTAAAAAATTACCGAACAGAAAAGCACCAGGACCGGACGGACTACAAAACATAATACTTAAACAACTGCCGACGAACGCCTACATTTTACTTACGCGCATAATAAATAGACTAATGACAAAAGGCTGCTTTCCCGCTTCTTGGAAAACCTCCATCATATTTCCAATAGTGAAGCCAAGGAAACAGCCAGACATACCACAGAACTACAGACCGATCAGCCTCCTCAACACAATGAGTAAGGTAGCCGAAAAGGTACTACTCAAAAGACTTAACAAACACATAAGACACAACAAAATTATACCTGACACACAATACGGATTCAAAGAACGACACTCTACACTACACCCACTGACAAAACTCATAGAAAATACAGTACTCAACTTCAACAGACGAAACCATACCGGATTGGTGTTACTCGACTTTGAGAAGGCATTTGACACCATCTGGATGGACGGACTTGTACATAAACTTATCCAACTCAACTTTCCACCGTACATAACGAGAACTTTACACTCATACCTTTCAGACCGTAACTTCACTGTACAAGTAGACAACGGACTTTCGACGGTTAAACAAGTGACGGCGGGAGTACCGCAGGGCTCGATCCTGGGACCATCCTTGTTTAACGTCTACATTCACGACATACCCACTGACGCCGACACAACGTTACTGACGTTTGCTGACGACACTGCCATATACAAATCATCACGATCACCGACGCTACTGACTACAAAGATACAGACACACATAGACAAGCTGATGAAATATACTGACAAATGGCAGATTAAAATCAATCCGCAAAAGACGGAGGCAATTTTATTTACAAAGAGCCAAAATGCCATGACTAGACTGACTGACTTGGACAAAATTAAAGTATTGGACTGTGAAGTTGAGTGGTCGAAGGATGTCAAATATCTTGGTGTGACCCTGGACCATAGACTCAGCTTCACAAAACATATTAATACAAAAATTGGACAGGCTTACGGGATGTTGAATCTACTGAGACCTCTCTTGAACCAGAACAGCCCGCTAAGCGTGAAGAACAAGCGAACACTTTACTTGACACTAATAAGACCGATACTGACATACGCCGCTCCGGCATGGAACGCGACGACTAAGACTAACTTACGAAAACTACAGACATTACAAAATAAGACACTACGACTCGTACTCAACAAAATAAGGAACCCACTGACTAGACATTACTACTCTTCAAAATACATACACAAACAGACTGACTTACCAACCATACTAGACTTTATAAAAAAGCTCACTGAGAATTTTTATCTAAAATGTGGGGATCATCCTAATGTTAACATCGCGGGCCTCGGCCAATACACAAGAGACGATATTTGGTATGGCAATCACGCCATGCCAAAATATATACTGATCGACCCATAGCGGTAATTGATACTTGGATGAGAATAAATCTTTTATTTTTGTTTTTCTTTTTAATTGTATAATTAACTATTATTATAAATATTGCTTTGTGGTTTTTTTGGGGGAAAAAGTTTCTTTCCTCTTTTTTGCCACACGATTTGTCAAAAAGTTTTACATATACTTTAATTATTGTTTGAAAAACCAAATCCAATGAAGGATACAATACCTACGGGTAATAAACCCATGTTATAATATGCAATGTACATACTTTTATATATTGAAATATATAGTCTTTGAATTGAAAAAAAAAAAAATAAAATAAAAAAATAAATTGAATATTGATTTTATATTGGAACATCATATTAATGCAATAATGTTATATTTAAATGTTCATAATAAAATATCTTGATTGAATAAATAATGACGGAATGATAATGATAGATAATTGAATAGATAACTCCTGCATAATTTTAAACTATATAAATTAATTATCGATAATTTGATGAATCATAGAATCAAATATAATATATTCACAATGGCACAACAATTACACCAACTAGAAAATTAATTTTATTTTTAATGTTTTGACAATTATTGAAATTTAATTTTTAATTAAAAATATACTGAATACCTTCAAATATTCAGTAAAAAATTTAAATTGGGGTTTAACCTGTATTTTTTAATAAATCACTGTATCTAGCGTAATGTTATCATTATAAACAATTATATTTTAACAACTCTGATTTTCTTATGGAATTTGTTTTTAAAAATAAATTTTGATAAGAATTTGTAAAGGTATAAAATGAAAAAAAATACTTGTTTAAAAATTATGCAAAGTAAAAAATAATATAATAAATATTTTAATAATAAGTTAAAAAACATATGTAGGCTCTCTTTTTCGAATAAAAAATTATAAAACAATATTTTTTCTACTCAGAAACAAAATTTGGATTATTTAGTCTCCGAACTCCAACATTAAAGGAGTAATTTTTTTCTAAACCTTATTACCCTAAAACTAAGTTTCGTTTCGAAATGTCGATCAATTAATTTCAAAACTTGTGATACATGGAATCGTGCTTTAAGGCAAATAGCTGAAACATCATGTACCATAATTTAAAATTTTTAAAAGCTTTAAGTGTTGCAGTCTAACAGTTAAGCATTATAAATCTTGATATGGAACACATAAAAGTGTAAATAGAATTCGAACCTATTAATAATATCTAAATAAAATATCTGATAATTTGATGTGCATATGTCTAATGGTCATTTTTGACCGCCAAATCTAAATTGACAACTTTTTTTGCTTTGTAACCCCGAAACCGCTAAACATGCCTTCGCCAAAAACTAATCAACACGTCTCCCCATGAATAGTAATCGATTGCTTTTTAAAACATTCAAATCGGTTGATCCCTACGCTCGAAATCGCTGACGAAAAATTGTAACCTCCACACACATACATACATCAATTGTTAATGTATGTAGGGTAGGGCGGGGCTAGTTGAGCATAGGGACAAGTTGAGCAATCGAAATATCTCGAAAACTATTCACCGTCCGTTTAGGCATTATATGGCGGAAAGATAGAGGTTTGGGAGAAATAAACATCCCGTGATCGCTAGTGGCCGCTGGACAAATGAGTGAGGCTCACGGGCGTTTTGTTTATTTTGAGACCAAAAAGTAAAAACGCAATTCATCACGAGTGTTCGTCTGGTTTAGTCAAATATTATTTATTCTTACTCAGGTAAATGTTATTTTTCCATATAATTATAGTACATTTAATATGCACAGAGATTCTGGGTATAATTCTCACGGTTTTTTTATAAACTCATTTTGATTTTGAAATTCCGAGTTGGGGTTAGTTGAGCATAGTTTGCTAAACTTGTTCTGTCACTAAGACAATTACCATCAATTTCCAGAAATTAAATTATTATTTTTAAGATTTAAGCTAAGTCTATGAGTAATAATATGAAGAATTAATGATTTTAAACAAAAATACTGAATATAA